GATCTTCGGCGGCTCCCCCCTGCCGTTCTGGGGCTTCAGGGGTCCTCCAAAAGATCACACGAGACACCGACCACCAGCCCCGAGGGGCTGGTTCCGTTTGCAGACTTTGCAGAGGCTTGGTGGAGCCTGGCAAACATTTCTCTGTGGGTCCTGCGCACTGCCATAGATGGGTATCGACTACAGTTCAAAACCCGCCCTCCAAATTCAACAGAAGAGAGGGGGTGGTTTGGACTGTGGTCCGCCCGGAGCAAGGTCCGGTGTTGGGACAGGAAGTTCGTACTCTGCTGAGGAAAGGGGCCGTGGAACGTGTCTCCCCCCCAGACAGAGACGGCGGTTCTACAGCCGGTATTTCATAGTCCCCAAGAAGGACGGAGGGCTGCGTGCCCTATTTTGGATCTGCGGGTTCTAACCGATCTCTGAGGAGATTCAGGTTCAAGATGCTCATCATCCCCGCCATCATGACGCACATCCAATCTGAGGATTGGTTCGTCACGATAGATCTAAAGGACGCCTATTTCCAGGTCTCCATCCGTCCTTCTCACAGGAAGTTCCTGAGGTTTGCCTTCGGGGGTGTGGCTTACCAGTATCGAGTTCTTCCATTCGGCCTGGCACTTCCCCTCGCACATTCACCAAGTGTATGGATGCAGCACTGGCCCCGCTGAGGCTCCAGGGCATCCGGATTTCAACTTCATCGACGACTGGCTCATCCTAGCCCAGTCTCGAGAGTTGGCGTTCGGCATCGAGATGTCGTTCTGGCTCATCTGCGGCGTTTAGGGCTGAGGCTCAACGCAAAGAAGAGCGTGCTGGCGCCCACCCAACGGACTACGTTCCTAGGGGTTGTATGGGATTCGACAACGATGCGGGCACAATTGTCGGCCTACTGCTTGTAGCCCCGTTCTGGCCAACCCGGGTGTGGTTCTCGGACATCATGTCGCTCCTGGACGGCCCGCCGTGGCGGGTCCCTCTGAGACCTGCTGTCCCAGGCGCAGGGCCGGGTTCTTCACCCTTGCCCCGCCATATGGCGACTGTGGGTCTGGCCCCTGAGGGGGCACAGTACCTAGAGGCGGGTCTAACAGCCGGAGCAGTCGAGACCCTCCTGAGCTCCAGGGCCCCGTCCACACGGAGGATGTACGGCCTGAAGTGGAGTGTTTTTTGGGAGCGGTCGGTGGACCCTGTTACCTGCCCGGTGGTTCAGGTACTTGAGTTCCTCCAGGACCGGTTCTCTGCTGGTCTTTCCCCTTCCACCCTCAAGGTGTACGTGGCAGCTATTTTCCACACCCCTCTGAGGGAGGGGTCCTTGGGGAAACTTCCCGTGGTTGTACGTTTCCTCCGTGGTGCCCGGAGGATGAGACCTGCGACTCGGTGCAAGGTTCCCACTTGGGATCTGGCAGTGGTTCTTGGGGCGTTGGCTGAGGCCCCCTTCAAACCCCTGGAGTCAGCTGAGGCTAAGCACTTGACCCTCAAGATGGCCTTTCTCCTTGCTATCACCTCTCTGAGGAGGGTGGGGGATCTCCAAGCGCTTTCGGTTTCCCCGCAAAGCCTGGAGTTTGCCCCGGGGAATATTAGGGCTATCCTGCACCCTCGTTCAGGATACATCCCTAAAGTGCCTTCTTGTGCGGCAGGGTCCACAGTGCTGCAGGCATTTCATCCTCCACCTCATGTGACGGCGGAGGATGGGAGACTTCATCTGCTCTGCCCTGTCAGAGCACTGAGTATTTACACTCTGAGGTCCTCCTGTTGGAGGAAGGCTGACCAGCTGCTAGTGTGTTTTGGGTCTCCCAGGGCCGGGCTCCCTGCATCCAAACATACTATTAGCAACTGGATTGTTCAGACTATTTCCCTGGCCTATCAGGTGCGCTGTTTGCCTTCACCTGTGGCTGTGAGGGCTCATTCTACCAGAGGCATGGCGGCCTCTCGAGCCCTCCTTTCCGGGGCCTCTTTGCAGGATGTTTGTTTAGCGGCTGGCTGGGCCACTCCGCACACATTCATTCGGTTTTACAGTCTTGACCTTCCTTCGGCACCTGGCACTCGTGCGCTCTCCTCTTAGTCGTGCCACTTTATTGCACACAGGGGCAGGCGGGGTTTTCGGCACGGTTTAGTGGGTATCTCGTTCCCATAGTGTCGTAACCGACGCAGTTCGAGTTCCCTCGAAGGGGAATGTCTCGGGTTACGTATGTAACCCTGGTTCCCCGAGAAGGGGAACGAGACACTGCGTCGGCCTGCCGCACCTCTCTCCCCGCCTGAAGCGCCTGCTTCATAGTTTAAGCTAATGATGAGTGTGTACAGGTGTGCTTTATACTCCTCCGGTTATTCCGTCACACCTTACCGTTCTAGCAACAAGCCAATAGGATTGGAGTGATTTCATTCACGTTCAGACCTGCTTCGCCTAGAGGCGTTCCCATAGTGTCGTAACCGACGCAGTGTCTCGTTCCCCTTCTCGGGGAACCAGGGTTACATACGTGACCCGAGACGTTTTGATGGTGTGATTTGGGCTAGCTTATCACAAGCAAAAACAGACTTCTCTCCAAAACTAGATTTTCACATGCTCTTTTCAGTGATGTAGAAACATTGTGGGGGTGAAATAAATGTTTTCACGTCTCACAAAGCTTGACAAAAGCAGCTCAGAAAGCAGCTCGGAAAATGAGGACTAATGTTGCATGTCCCGTACTAACTCTTAGTAGCAAGGGTAAAATTTGCAACATGTTAACTTACACATAGAAGATTGATCCTGATGAGTTTTGCGGTATTAGTTTTACACATTTTAAATATGGGGAAGAGAGAGAGAGCATTGGCATTTGATCACTACATGGTAGGGATCACTAAATTGCTTTGCAGTTGTAGATTTACTACATAACAAATGTAATGAAAATTACGAGTTAACCCTAGAGTTTGGGTTATCATGGCAATCTGTTTTCCTCCTTTGTAGTGTCTCTGAAAAATGCTATGGAAGGGGACACTAGAAAAAAATAGAAACAGCATGGTCTCAAAAAAGAGGTCGCAGCAGTGATGAGACTTTTTACTAAAACCTTATTGTCAAGGGCAAACTAGCCACTATGGTTGAATGCAAGACCTGCAATGAAACAGTGTAAGACTGCTGAACATCCTGTTCTGGCTAGTCAAGAACCCCGTGGTAAATCTGGGCATTACATAAAAAATAAAAAGCCATATGATAGATATTGTTACAGACTTTTGTTGTTGAAGCTGCTGGTTCCTGTTGAGCTTTGGAACGTTTTGGAGCCAAAATAAAGAAGCTGATTTTTATTCTTTTACCTGTAGGAGATTTATTATAACCTTCTGTTTTATTTTCAACAGAAAACTACTGTCCTGTTATGTCAACAAAGTAGTTAACTAGCATTTGAATACTTCATCCCCAAGGGAAGGGTTCTGGATTTCATGACCTCTGTAATAGTCTAATAAACCCTAATTAGCAAAAGGCAGCTGGTTCTCAGTAGAAGGATCAAACTTTAGCTCTTGAAGTTTCCAGTTGATGAAGTTGTAAACTATATTTTTTTATAATTCTAGCTTTTTTTACTAAAGGGAAAGAGGAGGCCTGTTAGCATGACTAGTGACTTAGGTATGAGTAAGGCTTTAGTTTAGAATGAGGGACGTAGTCTATATGTTACTGAAAGACTACATTTAGAGTTATTTGGACGCTGTTAACACTTGTAGTTTTGTTTTTGTTTTTTTCTACATAAGAATTGTCCTTATTTTGTAAGTGTAACAAAAATTAAATATTTAGTTTAGATTACAATATTCTCTTAATAGAAATACCCCATTCTTTTATTCATCCATGCTGGAGTGTCGCTCCATGCTAGCTAAGAAGGAACTAAGAGGGAACTCCGTGTCATTACATGCCAGCCAACAATGGACGTTTCTGTAATGCAGTCAATAAATAAAGTGCAATCCTATAAAATTTAGAATGAAGAAACAAGTACATTGCAAAATTGATAGAAATCTTGTCTATAACTGGTCAATTTCATTTCACAATATTTGGGGACAGAATTATTCCAAAGGTTTAGTAAAAGTTGATAAACCTGTTTTAGTGATTACTTAAAAAATAGGATCATGCTGCTGAGCATTTTAGTCCTAATTTATAATTATGAAGAGCAAATACAAAATAAGATAAAGATGAAGGCCCTTTAAAAAGGCCTACTTCACCATTCCACAAAGGTCATAAAAATGACCAACCACCACAGACAAACCTGAAGAGAAAGTTTAAATGACTGCACTAGTGTAATAAGACATTTTATATAATTGAACCCTGGATAAAGTACCTTTTGCTGCTAATAGTGCAATCTTTGATATTTGTGCATGCATCCAAGTTATTTCTGAATAACAGGTAAAACTGTAAATTCTCAATAAAGTGGCCCTGAATATTTTTGGATCACAGAGAAATGTTTAAATATTACTAACACTGATGTTAAAATTTCCATTTTTGAAAGAAACAAGAAGTCTTTAAGAGATACAAACACTCATTAGCTGGAAAAAATGAACCGCATAGAGGTCCCCTCTTTGGTAGGTAGATACTGCTCAAGGATCCAAGTGCCCTCTTGGCAATTTCTTGAAGACAATGTTCTCGTTTTATTTTCACAGACTCCCATCATTGGCCTATGGTAACCCCTCCTAGTCTCTTATCATTGGCTCATGGCTAACTCTGCCCACCCTCTTATTTTGTATGTGACAGCATGTGGGAAATAACTGGTGAGGGGTAGGGGGCCGTTACTTCTGGTACAACCAGATTATTATATAGTCTGTAGTTCCAAACTCTTGTCTCCGGCTGATAAAAATAGGTTCCTGTTTCGAAAACGAACTCTGTCTGATGAACCCAGACCGTTTTTAACAACCGGAGTCTGGGGTTATAGATAACTCTATTCCATAACTGGTCTACAAGATTACCTGAAGATGCTAATGACAGTTAAAACACACAACTTGATGTGGCTCATTGAGAAAACAGAGGGAGGGGAGGGATGCAAGGAGGTGCGGGGGGTGGAGCACATTCCTCAATTCACCCTGGACAGCCTATGCTACACCAGAAAGAGAGAGGACAGAGAAGAAGAGACACAGACTCTAGAAGGATTAAAGTTTTAAGACTGACAAGTTTAAGACTAGACTACAGCTTTTGAGTGATAATGATAGCAAGTTTGTAAGACAAAGCACTAGCAAAGATTTTACAAAGTTTAATTTTGGAACTCTCTTATATTAACTCTTATTTTGCTGCATGCTGTTGAAGGTAATTTAAAATGCTGTTTAATTTTAACTCACTGTTATACTATTTTAATGTAATTATTTAAATTATTCTTTAGTTCTTTAATGATGGTAAGTTTGTCACACAAAGCTTTAGCAAAGAATTTGAAGGTAATTTAAAAATCTGTTTAATTTTAACTCACTGTTATACTATTTTACTGTAATTTATTTCAATTTATTCTTTAGTTCTTTAATGATGGTAAGTTTGTCACACAAAGCTTTAGCAAAGATTTTACAAAGTTTAATTTTGGAACTCACTCTTATTTTCTCTCTATCCAGCTCTTCCGAGGGTTTTCCTTCTTGGCAAGGGAAAAGGTTGCATGTGATGCGGATGAAGTCTCTTACTGTAGTGACTTTGATTTTGCAGTTGCACAACATTTTTGAGTGTAATGTGCTGATTCGACAAATGGGTTTAGGCCATTGAGCATTTGGTTCAAAGAATGGGGTTTAGTGTTTTAGCAATTGTGAAAAACTGTATAGTTTTCTTTCTGCAGTATTTACAGTATACTATATATTTACTGTACAAAGTTGTGATTACTATACTAAATTGGAAAATATGTTTCCTTTATGCAAAAACAATTTTTCTGTAACTACATGCCCTGGACGTGTTCTTAATTTGTTGATATAGTGTCTAAAGAATGCTCTGTAGTGTTTTATCTATTAACTGGCTGTGTTTATGTTTTGAAAGCATTGTTTGATTTTGAGCACAGATCACATGGTTTTGGGGCAAGTGTCAGGGGTTTTGTGAATGTAGTTTAAAGACTGGGTTTTGTGTTTAAGGTTTTGAGAATATGGGTGAAAGTTTCAAGAAATGTGTCTTAACAATTGTGAAAAACTGTACTCAAAGGAGACTGGCTTTTTATTCCCCCTATAGACATTTGTCTATAATAATAATATTCGTTGAACACAGTTCTGCATTGCTGGTCTGGCCTTGTGCAAGAGGCTTCGAGTTTGGACACATTCTATATATTTTTATCTGCACCTCAATCTGACTTTTTTTGTGTGTCATCTTATTTACTCCTTTTGTCTAAATTAAGTAGATAGGTGGTTGATTAAAAAAAACTAACAACATCACTGACCATATGTAAAATGTACTGGTTGGCTTCTGTCGTGTAGCTGGTTTCATTGCTGTGTTTAAAATAAATGTTGTTTTTTTCAAGGTACCATTTTATCCTCCAGACAACAGATACCCTCACATCCTGGCAGTTTGTTTACTGGAAGGAGGGAGCAGTTCACAGCAATGAGGTATGCAGTTTATCATATTCTAGGGGGTAACCAAAACATTTCAGTAAACAAGTAGCTGAGTGATGTTTGCAAAGTGAAAGTCTTTTTTATCTGATGTTATTCTTACCAGTTAATAATATACTGAATACTGACACATGTCAACGTAGGCAAGACGATATAAAAAATAAAAATATTTTCCCGGTGGCAAGCAGTCAGGGAATTTGACCGGAGTGACCGGGGACATGGACCTCACTCACTAACATGTGGGTAGACCAGATTCATGATACATGCACACTGGCCAATTTTGTTCTTACCACAGTGCATATGTCATATCAGAATCAGTGCATATCAGAATTATTAGTTAGTTGAGTTAAAATACACAAACAGTTTAAAATAGGAATAGCTATAAAATTGCTTCTTAAATAAAAATAGCCACTTTGTTTGACATCTATGGTAAACTTCCTGTTCACATGTGGTCAAGGTCACTCTAGTCTGCAGTGAGCAAAATTTTCTAATCTTTCAGCTTCAAAAGTAGAACATTTGCACCTTACATTTTATGCAATTCAACTTTGTTAGGTGTGAATGAGCAAAATCATAATTTTGCTCACAGTAGAGGAAACAATAATGTGTCTTGAAGTGATATGTTGTGCTAACCTTGAGATTTAGCCATCATTAGCACGCAAGTCAGTTTGGGGCAAGTTGTCTCAATGACAGACACATAGAACACGCTCAGAAAACATTATAATATTGTGTAATTAGCTCTGATAATAGCATTAAAATATACTGTAAAGAGAATATTATCGCTACAGTGTGGTTTACAGCAGCAGGCATATCCCTGGACTACACAAGACTGTATTCATTACACTATATAAAGTAGTGTGTGAGTACGTGTTGGGAAAAACTGTCTCATACAGGCATGTAGTAGACAGATACACACACACACTATACACACACACACACACACTGGCAAAAAGGACAGTATGCACCATAATAAGCCCGTAATTTATTTGTAATCACAATGAGAAAATGAGTTTTTGAAGAAAGGAAAGAAAAGCAGGAAGGATGGAAGATAGTTTTGAAATTACCAATGAAAGGCAGAGCATGACAGCACAACAGCTGACATGATGTTACAGACAGTCATGCAAGTGAAGTTGCAGAACAAATCGATCAGGACGATCTATGACTCAGTGCGGTCAAAAGAGAAGAAAATGAAAGTCAGCCATGCCAAAAAAAATGGTTTGTTATACACCACAGAAGAGTCTAACACCTGATTTGGAGAATCAGTTTGTTGAATATATTACTACGTCAGTTGACATTTATTTTGGTCTGTCGCCTTGTCTGCTGTGGCACACAATGTTGTCACTGAGAAACTTGCCTTTCCAGGGCAAGTAGCTTCAACAGAGAAAATGTTTGTTTTTTCCACAATATAGATAAAGATTAACAGAAATTTGAAAGTTTGGACCAGGAGACACATGGAATGTTGATTAAACTTGGGTGACCACTGTACATAATCCTGACAAAGGGGTGGCTAGACATGGATTGAAACATGTAGGGTCACTGACCTCTGCTGAAACACTGTCTTGTGTTTTCTCAGCTACTGTATATCATCATATTTAATTTCCCACTATGTCAACTTCCGCAATCGTGTCGTGATCAACAGGCAAATGAGGTGCAAAACCCTATGAATGCAGATGAAAGATACACACTTTGTTAACTTTCTGAAATATTTCAATGAAAATGTGAAGGGCTATCCAAGTGATCCAACCATTAGACAGTAATAGTAATTGTGTTGTTATTTTTTGACAATCCAGTGTGACATCTTACCTGATGCAGTATGACAACGTACCTGCCCATGGCAGTGCACACTTGCTATTTAACAGTCTACAAATCCACAATATATCATATCCAAGATATGAAGTTGAAATGAACACAAAATATGTGCTCAAGACTTCCTTCTTCAATTTGGTATGACATTTATAGCATTGTGATGTACAGTGGGTGCGGAAAGTATTCAGACCCCTTTAAATTTTTCACTCTTTGTTTCATTGCAGCCATTTTCCAAAAATCAAAAAAGTTCATTTTATTTCTCAGTAATGTACACTCAGCACCCCATCTTGACAGAAAAAAACAGAAATGTAGAAATTTTTGCAAATTTATTAAAAAAGAAAAACTGAAATATCACATGGTCATAAGTATTCAGACCCTTTGCTCAGTATTTAGTAGAAGCACCCTTTTGATCTAATACAGCCATGAGTCGTTTTATGAAAGATGCAACAAGTTTTTCACATCTGGATTTGGGTATCCTCTGCCATTCCTCCTTGCAGATCCTCTCCAGTTCTGTCAGGTTGGATGGTAAACGTTGGTGGACAGCCATTTTCAGGTCTCTCCAGATATGCTCAATTGGGTTTAAGTCAGGGCTCTGGCTGGGCCAGTCAAGAACAGCCACGGAGTTGTTGTGAAGCCACTCCTTCGTTATTTTAGCGGTGTGCTTAGGGTCATTGTCTTGTTGGAAGGTAAACCTTCGGCCCAGTCTGAGGTCCAGAGCACTCTGGAAAAGGTTTTCGTCCAGGATATCCCTGTACTTGGCCACATTCATCTTTCCCTCGATTGCAACCGGTCGTCCTGTCCCTGCAGCTGAAAAACACCCCCACAGCATGATGCTGCCACCACCATGCTTCACTGTTGAGACTGTATTGGACAGGTGATGAGCAGTGCCTGGTTTTCTCCACACATACCGCTTAGAATTAAGGCCAAAAAGTTCTATCTTGGTCTCATCAGACCAGAGGATCTTATTTATCACCATCTTGGAGTCCTTCAGGTGTTTTTTAGCAAACTCCATGCGGGCTTTCATGTGTCTTGCACTGAGGAGAGGCTTCCGTCGGGCCACTCTGCCATAAAGCCCCGACTGGTGGATTGCTGCAGTGATGGTTGACGTACTACAACTTTCTCCCATCTCCCGACTGCATCTCTGGAGCTCAGCCACAGTGACCTTTGGGTTCTTCTTTACCTCTCTCACCAAGGCTCTTCTCCCCCGATAGCTCAGTTTGGCCGGACGGCCAGCTCTAGGAAGGGTTCTGGTCGTCCCAAACGTCTTCCATTTGAGGATTATGGAGGCCACTGTGCTCTTAGGAACCTTAAGTGCAGCAGAAATTTTTTTGTAACCTTGGCCAGATCTGTGCCTTGCCACAATTCTGTCTCTGAGCTCTTCAGGCAGTTCCTTTGACCTCATGATTCTCATTTGCTCTGACATGCACTGTGAGCTGTAAGGTCTTATATAGACAGGTGTGTGGCTTTCCTAATCAAGTCCAATCAGTATAATCAAACACAGCTGGACTCAAATGAAGGTGTAGAACCATCTCAAGGATGATCAGAAGAAATAGACAGCACCTGAGTTAAATATGAGTGTCACGGCAAAGGGTCTGAATACTTATGACCATGTGATATTTCAGTTTTTCTTTTTTAATAAATTTGCAAAAATTTCTACATTTCTGTTTTTTTCTGTCAAGATGGGGTGCTGAGTGTACATTACTGAGAAATAAAATGAACTTTTTTGATTTTTGGAAAATGGCTGCAATGAAACAAAGAGTGAAAAATTTAAAGGGGTCTGAATACTTTCCGTACCCACTGTATGTGCCCAGTAAATACTAGACAGTGTTAAAAGCATCATCTGGTTTGAGAGGCTGCAGTGTTTTCAGTCTGGCTGTTTTTAAAGAAGTATGAAAAAAGTGTCTCCTCATTTTAGCCAACCACAAGTCTCATCTGTCCATTGATGGGCTCAATTATGCAAAGATAATGGCATTATTATGCAATATGAATGGATGAAAGATACGCACCATTGACTTCCTGAAACATTTCAATGTATGCAAAGTGCTCAAAGGAGAAGCCCTGTTTCCTCTTTTTGGATAACCACAAGTCTCATCTGTACATCGTTTTAAAAAAAAAGCGTTGCATCATCATGTTTCTACAGTAGCTGAAAACGGACAAACAACTTGTTCTACTTCTGGTAGAATTCAGGCAGCGTAGACACTCATCACTATGTTGAATACGTACGTTAGAAGAAGAAGAAGAAGTAGCAATAATATACAGCAGGGATCTGCAAATAAGTTTTGCATCGGAGCAGTATTTTCAACCATTAGATGGTGGATGAAAATGTAAGCCATAATATTGACATAAAGCAACATGTTCTTTGCTTAGCTCAGGAGGTAAGGTGTAGGACTCCCAATCCAAGGTTTGAGTGTTCAGTCTCTCCTCAGAACACCTTTTTCTTTTTTACTCTCTTCAAAAATTGATTCTGAAGCAAATTTTTCTCAGATCGCAGCATGTGCTGCACTGTTTTTGTTTTGGTGTTTGATCCGCATCCATCAACCTACGGACACTTTTTCAATTCCCCAGTATCTCCAGGCAGAGGTCTTTTCGGGGAATCACGTTTTCTGACGGCTCTTTCAGAGGTGTGTCAAGCAGGCTACAGACTCTTTTAATGTCGTTCAGAGAGTAAAAGCTCAGTTCAACTCAAAATACAGCATTGCAGTAAACAAGCTTCTCACGCTTTTATTTTATAGGCAAACCCACTAAAGAGGAAGTGATTATGTGAAGAACTGTTGTTTTCATGCCTGAGATGTATTTTAGTACCGCTATCAAAGTATTTATTTATTTATATTTTTTTGCCACTATCAAAATCTGACCGTGGGCCAGCTATTATTGTTGACGGGCAGTTTTGGCGAGGGTCCATAAACACAGAGAGAATGAATGTGTTTCCCTTGTCATTGTTCATATAAACTTGTAGGCAAACTGCAAGGGTTCCAGCAAGGGCCCTGTAATGTCCTTCAGATGGGCCAACACCAGTCTTTCAAAGGAAATCATGACTACAGATGTCAGGGCGACAGGCCTGTAGTCATTTAATCCAGAGATGGAGGGTTTTTTCGGTATTATAATAAATACACACTATGAAGCATTAGTTAAGTATTAGTAAAAACAGAATTCATCATTTATAAAGCATTGTTCATGCATTAATACACATTAAT